GCCATCTATCCATAGAACTGGGGCTCTGTGTAAGTCATGGGTCTTTATCCCTGGAGAAGGTAAGGCCATCTATCCATAGAACTGGGGCTCTGTGTAAGTCATGGGTCTTTATCCCTGGAGAAGGTAAGGCCATCTATTTATAGAACTGGGGCTGTGTGTAAGTCCTCAATAACCAAGTGACTGGTCTTTACCCTCTAAACAGATAGGTCCATCTATCCATAGAAATAGGGCTATGTTTAAGTGATGGGTCTTTATCTCTGGAGAAGGTAAGGTCATCTATCCATAGAACTGGGGCTGTGTGTAAGTCCTCAATAACCAAGTGACTGGTATTTTCCCTCTAAACAGATAGGTCCATCTATCCATAGAAATAGGGTTATGTTTAAGTGATGGGTCTTTATCCCTGGAGAAGGTAAGGCCACCTATCCATAGAAATAGGGCTATGTTTAAATGATGGGTCTTTATTCCTGGAGAAGGTAAGGCCAACTTAAGGGTTTACAAATGGGGTGTATATTATTTGTGTATCACATATATATAGTCTATGGGATTACAAATGGGATGTATACCCTTCAGGCTTGTTTCAATTGCGGTGTATAACCTTAGGCTTAAAGCTTACTCCAACCAAGGAGTATACCCTTCAGGCTTAAGGCTTATTTCAAGACAAGTCGCACTTCTACTGTTGTTCTACAGAAGGATTGTAACTCAAGTGTAATGATTTGTACTCTCTGTAAAAATCAAAGATCCACTGTTGCTCTAGAAAATCATCGTGAGTCAAGTGTAGAGATCAAAGATTCATCGTAGTTCTAGAGAATCCTTGTGACTCGTGTGTCTTGTGATCCTTGTTCTCTGTAAAGATCAAAGATCAATCGTAGTTCTAGAGAATCATTGTGACTCATGTGTCTTGTGATCCTTGTTCTCTGTAAAGATCAAAGATCAATCGTAGTTCTAGAGAAGCATTGTGACTCGTGTGTCTTGTGATCCCTGTTCTCGGTAAAGATTAAATATCCATCTTTGTTCTAGCGAATCATTGTGACTCATGTGTCTTGTGATCCTTGTTCTCTGTAAAGATCAAAGATCCATCGTAGTTCTGGAGAAGCATTGTGACTCGTGTGTTTTGTGATCCTGGTTCTCTGTAAAGATCCAAGATCCACCGTTGATCTATAGAAACATTGTGAATCGTGTGTCTTGTGATCCTTGTTCTCTGTAAAGATCAAAGATCCATCGTAGTTCTGGAGAAGCATTGTGACTCGTGTGTTTTGTGATCCTGGTTCTCTGTAAAGATCCAAGATCCACCGTTGATCTATAGAAACATTGTGACTCGTGTGTTTTGTGATCCTGGTTCTCTGTAAAGATCCAAGATCCACCGTTGATCTATAGAATCATTTCAATTGACGTGTTTCTTGGTTCTCGTTCTCTGCGGATATATCCGTTTGGAATAGCTGGTTATCTTGTGTCAACTTTGTAGTTTCGTGTTAGATACGTTCAATTGGAGTAGAAATGTGATGAATAAATGGATCTTTATAACATTATACACAAGAGATGAAATGAACAAACCACGAACCACACGTACTTGAAACAAATATGATGGTGACACGGTACATATTTAATAGCTACACGATTTATGTAATATTTGTAATGTACACGAAACAAATCTGATGGTGGTACTGTACAAATATAGTGATTGGTAATGTTGTACATGGAACAAATGTAATGATTGGTCTATAGCTCCAGGTTGTTGTACATGGAACAAATGCAGTGATTGGTCTATAGCTCAAGAATGTTGTACGTGGAACAAATGTAGTGATTGGTCTATAGCTCCAGGTTGTTGTACATGGAACAAATGTAATGATTGGTCTATAGCTCCAGGTTGTTGTACATGGAACAAATGCAGTGATTGGTCTATTGCTCCAGGTTGTTGTACATGGAACAAATGTAGTGATTGGTCTAGAGCTCCAGGTTGTTGTACATGGAACAAATGTAGTGATTGGTCTATAGCTCCAGGTTGTTGTACATGGAACAAATGTAGTGATTGGTCAATAGCTCCAGGTTGTACATGGAACAAATGTAGTGATTGGTCTATTGCTCCAGATTGTTGTACATGGAACAAATGTAGTGATTGGTCAATAGCTCCAGGTTGTTGTACATGGAACAAATGTAGTGATTGGTCTATAGGTCCAGGTTGTTGTACATGGAACAAATGTAGTGATTGGTCAATAGCTCCAGGTTGTTGTACATGGAACAAATGTAGTGATTGGTCAATAGCTCCAGGTTGTTTTACATGGAACAAATGTAGTGATTGGTCTATAGCTCCAGGTTGTTGTACATAGTTTACTTATTTACGGTTGAATATCTGTAGTGATGACAAATGTAGAAAAGATATGACATCACCAGCATTCTTCAAACTCAAATAATTTCTCAGGGGAAATATAAAATTAGAACTGAAGAAGAGGCTACTAAATTATCGGTATGTCTCCTCCTTCTGTGGAAACATGGACCCTGTCTGGTGAAACGAAACGACACTTTGAAGTGTTTTAACTTACGTATAAATAAAACAAATGATGAAGTCATGGATAAAAATACAACTCTTGGACATGCGAAGGAAACGAAAGACGCTTTAGTTTGGACATATAACTACAACGGAAGAAAGAAGATTTTGATAGGTCAAAAAAAGAGATAGGAAGAGACTCGCTTGTCTTTAGAAAATAGATTGGATGAGAAGCTTGAATTTGTAAAGTTGGTGAAAGTATCGAGGAAGATAATCAATAAACTAGTTACTCAGACATATCGATTTATCCAGCAAATAATAAACTAGTTACTCAGACATATCTATTTATCCAGCAAATAATAAACTAGTTACTCAGACATATCTATTTATCCAGCAAATAATAAACTAGTTACTCAGACATATCTATTTATCCTGCAAATAATAAACTAGTTACTCAGACATATCTATTTATCCTGCAAATACTAAACTAATTACTCAGACATATCTATTTATCCAGCAAATACTAAACTAGTTACTGAGACATATCCTCTGTGAAGCTATTCTTGCGTTACATCGCCATCTTCTTACCACTCTTGCAAGATGTATCGTTAATAATTAAATAAATATGTACTTAACTAGCGTAGATAACATAGAACTCTGAAAAGAGAGGTAAAGTTGTAACGTCATGTCTCTAGGGGTTTATTGATAATAGAAGATGAAGTCATTAACCAAAAGTAAACCTAAATCTGATTATGTTAATTAGGAACAATCACTAATTAATAATAATATTATATCACTAAAATTTATTAATTTGGAGGTTAATAATTAAAATATAAGATCACATAAAGTTTATTGACTTAAGGTACTAATTGTAAAAATTATGTTACTAAAAGCTTACGTAATTAACAGTGTAATGATTTTAGGTTATTAATCAAAACACTTAGGTCGCTAAATGCTTATGTAACTAAGAGCGTAATGAGTTTGGTTTCTAACTAAAAACATTATGTTACTAAAAGCTAACGTAATTAAAAGTGTAATAATTATGGATCACTAATTATGTTACTAAAAGCTTATGTAATTAACAGTGTAATGATTTTGGGCTATTAATAAAAAAACTTATGTTGCTAAAAGTTTATGTAACTAAGAGTTTACTGGTTTGGCAGTTATACGAGATAAAGGTTTACAATACAAATTTCCTACTTCAGCTTATTTCATCCAATAGTTTAACTATGTGATGTGCCATCCCCCACGCTCATATTGTGCAGCTTTGTGCTTAATAATAAACAAAGCCGTCTGAGGTCAATGAAGAATGTTATATATTTTTGCTAATAGAATTTAACCTGATTTAATTTGAATAAAGATAGATTAAATAACGAATAAGTTAAAATTAAAAGGCATATACGGTCATAGGAAATTACAAGATACAACTGACGTCGTACATGACGTAATAGAGAACACCAACATACATCAACTGTAACGGCAAATTAATGCTAATATCTGCTTGTAGCGCCATCTATTTAGTATTAGATACTATTGGAACGGTCTAAAATATATACGCCACTACAATCAGGGTTCAAGAAAAAACAACAACAACAATTTATTCAACTATAACAACACTTATTAACTATCTTGTGACTCTCTCTCTTTAGTGAAGTTTATGGCAGGGTATTTATTCACTAAAGTAGGTCACGAGAGTACACCTCATGTGATCATAAATTTACGTACTTTTTCGCTACATTAATAGTATCTGTGCATCACTGCTAGGGAAGATGGTGTCAGTTTTGTCAAACATAAATTTACCTAAAATACAAATGATTATGTAGAAGGTAAGTTAGTGAGTACGAAATCTGTCTTTAAATAATTGAAATTATTCATTCCAAATTATGGAAAATGTGACATTGAAGGACGTAGCTCGGGTTTTTATGTCATGAGAATATAATAATCAGAAGATGATAATCTAATTACACTTTACACAAGTTATGTTAAACTAGCTATAAGTAAATGTACAAATGTTTATTTGGTGTCGAAAATGTCCAATAACATATATAAGCTTTATATATTTTTACAAATGAATATTATTATATTTTCCGTTAAATATAAAAATTTATAAGATATTCAAACAAATAGTGTGATATAGCAAATCCTATTTCTTATGATGGTTATGGTTGTGTTTATCGCTCATTTATTATTTCCTTTTATCGTTTAGTTTATCTATTTAATTTCTAATTGCATTTAAAGAAAATAGGGTGAACTTTACTGTATTACATATGGGATAATATAAAGAAAAGAGGGTGAACTTTACTGCATTACATATGGGATAAGACAAAGAAAATAGGGTGAACGTTTCTATGTTAGATAACAGAATGTAAAGAGAATATACTTCGCCTATTTCGAAAGGTAGATGTCTACCTTTATCTTATCCCATATGTAATACAGTAAAGTTCACCCTATTTTCTTTATCTTATCCCATATGTAATACAGTAAAGTTCACCCTATTTTCTTTATCTTATCCCATATGTAATACAGTAAAGTTCACCCTATTTTCTTTATCTTTTCCCATATGTAATGCAGTAAAGTTCACCATATTTTATCTTATCCAATACGCTATGTAGCCAAGTCCACCATGTTTTCTAGGCCCGGCATGGCCAGGTGGTTAGGGCGCTCAACTCGCAATCTGAGGGTCGCGGGTTCAAATCCCCGTCACACCAAACATGCTCGCCCTTTCAGCCGTGGGGGCATTATAATGTGTCGGTCAATCCCACTATTCGTTGGTAAAAGAGTAGCCCTGTAGTCTTACAATGCTAAATTAGGGACGGCTAGCGCAGATAGCCCTCGTGTAGCTTTGCGCAAAATTAAAACAAACAAACAAACAAAACAAAACCATGTTTTCTTTGCCTTATCCAATACGTCATGTAGCCAAGTCCACCATGTTTTCTATGCCTTACCCAATACGTCATGTAGCCAAGTCCACCATATTTTCTTTGCCTTATCCAATACGTCATGTAGCCAAGTCCACCATATTTTCTTTGCCTTATCCAATACGTCATGTAGCCAAGTCCACCATATTTTCTTTGCCTTATCCAATACGTCATGTAGCCAAGTCCACCATGTTTTCTTTGCCTTATCCAATACGTCATGTATCCAAGTCCACCATGTTTTCTTTGCCTTATCCAATACGTCATGTAGCCAAGTCCACCATGTTTTCTTTGCCTTATCCAATACGTCATGTAGCCAAGTCCACCATGTTTTCTTTGCCTTATCCAATACGTCATGCTGTAATACTACACAGTTTCTCGTCGTCTTGCAAAATACCTTT